TGTAATCCCAGCACTTTGGGAGGCTGAGGTGAGTGGATTGCCTGAGCCCATGGGTTCGAGACCAGCCTGGGCAACTTGGTGATATCTCATCTCAAAAATAAATAAAAAAAATAGTCAGGTGTGGTAGCACATGCCTGTAGTTCCGGCTATGTGGAAGACTGAGGTGGAAGGGTCACTGGAGCCCAGCAGGTTGACGCCGGGGTGGCCGTGAGTGTGCCACTGCACTCCAGCCTGCACGGCAGAATGAGACTCCAACTCAAAAAAAAAAAAAAGAATGAGTATTCCGCCATTTTTGGATAAGGTGTTCTAGAGATAACTGTTATATCTGGTTGGTTTACAGTGTTGTTCATCTTCTGTTTCCTTGATGATCTTTTGCCTAGTTTTTCTATTCATTATTGAAAATGGGATATTGATGTCTTCAGCTATTCCTGTTGAATTGTCTATTTCTCCTTTTAGTTCTGTTAGTTTTTCCTTCATGTATTTTGGGGCTCCATTGTTAAATGCATATATAATTATTATATCTTCCTGGTAGATTGACCCTCTGAGTGGAAAAACCAAACTCATCTTCTCCTGCAATACTCTCACAACATGCTTCTCACACCAGATGTATGGGGAATTCTCCCCACCAGCAAGCAAGCAATCAATTCTGTAGCAGATACCAGCTGGATGTCCTATAATTCGATTAAATTCTGACACTCTCTACCTGGAGATAGCATCAGATTATACAGATTGACTCAGTCCCACAAGACGGAGCCCCACTTCTGACACTAATTGCAAGTCTCCGGTTATTTGCCTATGCTTCGGACTGCCCAGCTATAAATTAGAGTTCCCACAGTTCCCTCCTGGGGTTCAATTAATTTGCTAAAATGATTCACAGATCTCAGGGAAATGTTTACCTTCATTTACTAGTTTATTACAAAGATTATCCTAAAAGATACAAACAAGCAGCCAGATATAAAGATACCTAGGACGCACTCTAGCCTGGGTGACAGAGTGAGACTCTGACTCAAAATAAATAAATAAAAATTTAAAAATACAAAAAAAGAAAAAGATACCTAGAGCAAGGTCTGAAAGGGTCCCAGGCACATAGGAGCTTCTGTCCCAATGGAGTTGGCGCATGCCACTCTCCCAGCATGTGGATATATTCTTGTTCACTTTGCTGGAGGCCCTCATGTGCTCAGTTGTTCACAAGATCATCCAAATTTTGTCCCTTTGGGCTTTTAAGGAGACCTCATTATGTAGCCTGATTGATTAAATCATTGGTCATTGGTGACAAACTTAACCTTCAGCCCCTCTTCACTCCCCATAAATTGTGGGTAGGCTAGGGCTAAAAAGTCCCAGTCATCTAATCATGTCTTGGTCTTTCCTATAATCAGGCTCCATCCTGAAGCTACTTAAAAGTAGTTAGCGGCAGGTCAACTCATTAGCATACAAAAAGACACATCACTTTGGAGATTCTGTAGATTTTACCACATTGTATCCCAGGAAATGAGACAAAGACCAAATGTATATTTCACAATATCATATCATCTCTTATCATTATATATGTTTCTCTGTGTCTCTGGTCTTGCCTTATAGTCTATTTTGTTTGATATTAGCATAGCTATTCTAGCTCTCTCTTGGTTACTGCTTGCATGGTATATCTTTGTCTATCTTTTTACCTTCAACTTATTTGTGTCTTTGAGTCTAAGATGAATCTCTTATAAACAGCATATAGTTGGATCATGGTTTCTTATTCATTCTGTCAATCTCTGCCTTTTAAATGAAGGTTTAATCCATTTACATTTAATGTAATTATTGATTAAAAACTGACTTCTGCCATTTCTTTTTGGTTTTTTTGAGTTGGAGTCTCACTCTGTCGCCCAGACTGGAGTGCAGTGGCTGC